AGTCATTTTAGAATGAAAAAGGCATAATTTGTATTTATTTCCTAATTTTTTTATGGTGGTTACAAGATCAGTCAAATCAACCAAACCTGTCCAGATATTTGTTAGTAAAAATAACAAATAAAATATAAACTTTTTTCTTAAGAACCGTTTGATAACTATTTAGCATGTGAAATTTGAAAATTTTCTGATGCATAAAAGTATTTTGTCTTAAAATGAAAATTACTTTGCATGTTGGATAGGCAACATGCAAAAAGAAAAAAAGGTATGAGAAAAACATTGCTAGATCTTAAGACATAATAAAAATGATATTTTGCGCATGAAAGCATTTTAAGGTTTACTGATAATCTGCCAAATTTCGTTAACATACACTTACTAATTTGAAAGTGATAGCATGAAAACTATAACAAGCAAAAATTAGTTACGAGGTCAGTCCGAGGGACTGAGCTATGCTGAAAGAGTTAAAATGTTTTTGTGTTAAATCATATCTATTTGAAACTTACAGAAATTTTCTTCTATGATAAGACATCAGATAAGCTAGTTTTGGTTTAGTAAATGTGATAGGTGATGTCAAAATATTCCAATCACTCAAATACCCATTTATTGAATATTTTTGTTCAATTTATTGAGTTCACAGAATAATAAAATAACTTATTATTGATTGAAAAGAAATTATATTTAATAGATATAAATTGATGTTAACTAAGAATACTATTAGCAAAAATGTCATTGCCTATCCTGGTAATGCCATTTTGAAATGTTGGGTCCTATGGTGCTAATAAATCTTTGTTAGTTTTTACTTTATATATTTATGATTTATAGTCAGAAGTGGTAAGTACTGCAATTGGCAAAATAAAGTATAAAAAGATATGTTAACAAATGTCATTCAAGTTATTCAAATGTATATTTTTAAGGATATTCCCTTAAATATGTTTTGATCATATTTTTCGGTGAATGTTGAACACCAGGCTAAGTATTACACAAACATAGCTAGAAATACCCATTATGGTCAGTTTAAAGCTAAAACTAGCAAACCTTTGAAAAATATTATAACATATAATATAATGTTTAGGGACAACAAGGGACCTGTTGGTACAACTTAGCTGTCCCATCCTCCAAACTAAACTAAAACTATTATATAATTACAAAAAAACTTAAAGCCAGCTCATATTATTCATATAGTTATCAAGCTTTCTCTTAATCCTATCATGACAAACTACTTACATAATAAGTAGGTGATGAAACTCGCTTCAAATATCTTTCCAAAAACCAAACTAATCAATGAAATTGTTTGAAGATTTTATCTAAAGGTATTTAGTTTCAGAAAAATATTTAATTTTAATTTTTTCTTTTATTTTCAATAAAAACTCCTTATTTCACGTAGTTATTTGCACTTGCATTCTGAATAGTTCACCTGCAAGGTGATTTTCATATGAAGTATAAAAATACTATTTTTTTTATCTTACAGTTTTCACATTTCATTTGCATAATCTCTAGGACCTCATAAATGAATATAAAAAGTTTTTTAAAGTAAACATTTATATTTTATTTTCCATTTTCTCTACCATATCCCAAATCTTGATATTATCATCAACATACATTGCAATGAAATGTTTAAAATTAGGAAATAGAAATATGTAAATACCTTTTAACTTTGTTGAATAATCTTAAAATATCTTCTTTGAGTCATATACGTAATTTCACGTTGGTACCTTTTCAGTTATAGTTTATTTTTAATGTTTTAATTTCCTATCAAATTCTTAGTCCTTTATGACTTTATGATGAAATATCACCTCGTGCTTACTGACCATCATAATGTAATGACTGTCACTCACTTGTTAGCTGCAGACAAAATGGTTTCCACATGCCTATTTAGGAAAATTTGTTTTGTGAGGACAAATGTAGAATAATGTTTAAAAAATTGTTAAACATTTCAAGTATCATTTTTAAAACCCAAATAATACATAATTAACTAAGATATAAAAGTAAGACCTAAATACAATTTAACTGTCTCTCTAACTATAGAATAGTTAGGTAAGAAACCACCGTAAGTGCTATAGTTGATCAAGCAGACAACAATACTACAGGCAGTTACATATACCCCATAATGACAACTGCATGTCAATTTCAAATTAACTCTTAGTGAATTATAGTGTAAACTGAGCTCTTTCTAATGACTATATACACTTTTTTTTCAAGAGAAAACAATTTTAGAGATCTTAACCTCTCCTCTTATGACAACCCTCCATCCCAGGCACCATTCTAGTAATCCTCCTCTGAACAATTTCCAACAGTTCAATGTCTTTCATAAGGTAAGTAGCCCAAGACTGAACACAATACTCCAAAATGTGGTCTTACCAGTGACCTATACAATGAAATTATAACCTCTTTATATTTGTATGCACTATTTCTGTAGATACAACCTAAAATCCTATTTGCCCTGCCACTAGCAACAGCACACTGGTTGGATGGCATAAGAGACTGATCAACTATTACACCAAGATCTCTTTCTTTCATGACACTGAAGGCTATTCCCATCTGAATTATACTTATAATTCAAATTATGATAACCCATATGCATTATCTTGCATTTGTTATAGTTAAAACTCATTTGCCTTTTATTTCCCAACTCACTAAATGATCTAAACCCTTTTGTGAAGCACCAGTATCATCTTCACAGCTAGCAACACCCAAGGTCTCAATATCATCTGCAAATTTAAGTAATCTATTGACCATTTCTTCATCTATGTAAATCAAAAAGAGCAAAGGTCCTAAGACTGAGCCCTGATATACCCATTTATGATATTAATCCAGTTTGACTGAACTCCATTTATAACAACCTTCTGCTTTTTTCCATCCAGCACCTCTTCTATCCAATTAGCTAACTTATCCCCCACACTTTTAGAGATAATTTTTTTACAAGTCTTTTGTGTGGCACCTTGTCAAATGCTTTCTGAAAATCCAGTTTCACCAAATATACACATTTACCCTCATCTACATAAGCAGTAACCTTTTCAAAGAATGTCAAAAGATTTGTAAGGCAAGTGAAACCATGTTGATATCCAATATAATTTTGAACTTTGTTAAATGACTTTGCAAAGCATCTTTTATCAGACTTTCCAAAACTTTTTCCACAGCTGATCTAAGACTAATAGGCCTATAATTACTGGGACAATTGTTATTACCACCCTTGAAAAGAGGAGTGACATTAGCTAACTTCCAATCCTCTAGCACCTACCCACTATTCAAGGACTTACAAAAATAGTAGCGAGTGGCTAACATATCCAATTCCTACCCTCCTTCTAAACCCTTGTGTAAATATTATCTGATTCAGTAGCCTTATCGTTCTTTAAACTTCCCAATTTTTTCTTATCAAGCTCAAAATTTTGAATGGTTTCCAAAAACCTTTCTCCTTCGTGGTTTGACTAGTATTTCCCAATCTATATGCCTGAAATTAAAATCACCCATAATTATAACCTCATTAACATGTGAAATCTTAATCTCACTGTTAGGTTTCTTACTAATGTCATCAATATCATCTGGTGGTCTGTAACACATTCCGACTAAAAGCATTTTCCCTTTATATCCACTAATAGACACCCAAATGGATTCAATCTCCTTGCTATTATCTTTGATATCCACAACTTCAACATTTTATATATTAAGTCACTCCTCTTCCTCTCTTTAGTACTGTATCCTTTTTAAATAACCTAAAACCCTGTATTTTGAAGAAATTTCTTTCCTCGAAATCATCTAAATTTAACCGTGTTTCAGTTATTCCCATTATACCAAAATCCTCCATTCCTACCAGTGCCCTAAAGTCATCTATTTTTTTTCTTATACTTCTAGCATTACAACAGTAAAAATTAAGCTGACCTTTAGAATTACTTCAATACATGTTTCCTATGCTAAACTTTTCTCTACATCTTATTATTTTGTGGGATTTAGTTTATTCTGGCCCTCACCACTGTCTAGTTCTAGTTTTAAACTTCCCTTACTGCTGCATTAATAGCCCTTACAAACAAGCCAATCCCTCCCCTATTTCAGTGTAAACCATTCATTCCCAAAAGCTCCGTTCCCCCCATTGAACTGATCCTACAAGTAAAACTAGCCAATCTGCTCATCCTTATATATTAAATTAAGTTTAGCATTTAGCCCTAGTGACCTACTTATAATTTCATTCTTACAATTAATTACTGGCAATATCCCTGACACAATTGCCTTTATCAACCCCTTGTACTTATTAATGAGCTCATCTAACTTACTTTTTCCTACATCATTAGCCCCTTCTATATGCACAACAAAAACTGCATTATTGCTCACCCCCTTTGTTACATCTCTTACTCTGTCAGTTATATCCTCTACCTGTGCCCCAGATTCTTTTCTCCCTATTTACTCCACAGACTATCTTATCCACATGCCTTGTCAAGGAATCAGTTAAGGACAATAGAATTTTTGTGCACCCAACCTAAAAAAGTGTCTAAAATGTTATTAAGTAAAATTATATTTAAATTTACATGTTTTAAAAAAAAAAAATTAATGTTTCCATTTCTTAAAGATTGTTGCTAATGTTGTTATCTCAATTGATTTTTCAGTGTTTTTTTTTAGGGGGGGGAGTAAAAACATATCAGTTATTCAAAAACAAAAAAATATTTATTCACAACTCCAGGGATTTAGAACGACATGTGGTAAGGGACAGGTCTCCTCTTCGTGGAGAATCAAGACGTTTATTAGAAGATCGTATTAAAGAAGTTCTTTGGAAAGATGATAGGTAAGTTATAGATTCTTTTCTTAACGTGCTGAAAGCTGTAATTTTTTTTATGGGTAAAAAGATAAGTTTTAATAATTTTAATTTTTTTAATTAAATTAATTACTAGATTATCTATTGTAAATATATGCATTTAGGAAAGGAGAATAATATTTCAGAGATGACATTTATGGGTAAAAAAAGTAGTTTTAAACATAAGTTTTATATTTTTTAATTGTAAAATATTAAATTGCTTGTTGTAAATCTATGCATTTAGAAGAGGAAGAGAATCTTTTAGGGATGACTTTTATACCACTAATCGTACTACAGAGGATCCCTATATGGATGTGATGCAAAGAAGAGAGAGTGGTATCTATTCTGAGACACGTTTGGATCCAAAGGAAGACGTATTTAAACGCACAAGGTATTTTACAAGAAATCTTTATGACATTAAATATAACTTTTTTAGATTTATTTGTTAGTAGTTTAATAATGCTTTTGTTTTTTTTAAATACTTGCAAGTACTGTTTGTTGTATTATAATATTAGGTATCTGTAATTGTTCATTTTATCAAGGATATTTTTTTTATGAGAAGTAGAAAGTAGCTCATTATTGTTTTCCACTCTGTACGCTGAATCAGTACAAAAAAGTCTGTCAAATTCTAGAATATCATAAACTTATAAGTCTGTATTCTAAACTATTATTTTCAGACTCATTAAGTTCAATCCCTGTTTAGTAATATTTTTTGGTTTGGATATGAGGCAATGTTTCCAATTCTGTTTACATTTCTTACTTTATTTGAGCATATAGAATATTAAATGAGGTTTATTGTTGTGTCTATTTTTTTTGTTGAATGCAATAGATCATAAAGCTAATAAGATTATATTTACTTTTGTATCTAGTTCTCTGTTTACTACAGTAGGACATTAGATGGGATTTACTGACTTTACTGCATCTCTGTCAACTAAAGTTTTAACATATTACATTCTCTATTGACTTCATTCATGCATATGCAGAATATTTTTATTTAGGATTTTGATAATTATTCCTTAACACTGATATGAGAGTGTACATTCTGTCATGTTTAAAATCCAGTATATTTTTTGTTTTTGTAAAATGTTAATATTACATTAAATCAGAGAATACCAGACTATTTAACTTTAGGCCTAGCAAGATATTAGACACACTGGGTGAGAGCCCCTCTCCTAATGATGAAATATAGTTTTTAAATAATAGCCATTCTGAGGTACCTTACATTCATTAAAATTTGTTTTTTGAAAACACCTTAACAGTAGCAATATTGTTTAGCCATATTTGTTGCAATAAGTAAAATTCTTGCTTAAAATATTGCTTTGTTCAATGTTGGGGAAGTTTTAAAGAGAATATTTTTACATGTGCTGAAATTCCACCTGAGATTATCTTATTGGCCTCAATTTGGGAATATCATTGCATAAAAAGCTAGAAAGCTTAGACTCTTAAACTAGTTTCTATTTTTGGTATATTTGTTTGATTTTTGCAACTTAATATGTAACTTCTGAGTAGATGGAAGTAATATTTGCATCACTAAAAGGTGTACTCAAGTGTAAAGTGTAATTTTTTAAGAGAATATTAAGAAAAAATAATGAACAAGGCATTTTCTGGTCCAAAGTTTGTGATAAATTATATTCTCTCTTTAGAGCTAGCTTGCCTGATGATTCTCTACGAGACAGTTTTCATGATCTTCCCTTGTCTAAGTCTCAGAAACCTACTGATTGTGAAATAATAGTTGTTCACAAACAACAAAGGTTAGTTCTTTTGACTGTATTAATTTGTTTTTATTAATATATAACTGTGAATATAAAACCATCGTATAATTATTTTAAATATTGCCTAAGATTAAAATTGTAAAAATGGTTTTAACCCTCTGCTTATGGGCTCGGTCACTTTAACTGACCTTATAAACACCAGGTACCCATGCAAGTATAAACACTGAATTTACTTAGTGTATCTTTACAAAATTTTGCAAACTTTTAGTAAACATTACAAGTCATTTTGTAAACAGCCAGATTTTTGAATAAAGTATTTTACTAAAAATTTGTGCATATATGAAATCAATTTGACTCTGACTAGTGTGAGGTGATTTTCATGCTAAGAATACGAATACTTCTTTTCATCTTACAGTTTTCAGATTTCATTTGCATAACCTCTAGAATGTACCAAATGAATATTAAGTTTTTTCAGTAGAAGTTTATATTTTAATTTTTTTGTCTGTTATTTTCTATACTGGAATATTTACTTTAGCTAAAATCATCTGTGTAAAGTGAAATGAAATTTTGAAAATTATGAAATAAAATCAACAATACCTTTTCTTCTTCTTTGAAGATGTCATTTTAGTATGTTATTTTTAAGAAATGCATTCATAATTTCCCTGTTTACCATTTTACATATAGTTTTTTTGATTTTGTGGAATTATTTCTTGCTTTGTTAGACATGCAGGTTATTCATCCCAGTAGGAATATATTGACACATACCCATAGACTGAAATAGTGTGCTTTTGTAAATCTGCATTTGAATTTGGCCAGTTAGCCTTTGTTGAAACAAAAATTTGTATAATTTTCATATAAGCATTTGAAATATATATATAATATACATAAATCACCAAGAAATATAATGTCTAGAAATAGCTGTAATTTAACTAGTTTTCTAAGTTCTAACTAAGCTATAAATAGGTTAAATAATCATTATTGCTTTGAACATGAACTTTGCTTACAACAAAAACACCAGTCACTTTGTCTGGACTAATGTCTGTTGCTATCAAATTCAAAGGAACAGTTGCAAGATTAGATAAAAAACATTAACTCTTTTTATTGTTTATAAACATGTACAAACAATAAAAACATGGTTTTGAAAATGACATTGAAACTGTACATTTGACATTGTAATTATTTATTGCTTGTGTTTACTTTCCTTAGACTGTGTAGATGTTATACAAACTAAATTAGGAAAGATGAGAGTGCTCACACATCACATGGGAACAAAAGTGAAGATTGAGAATTTTTGTAATATTTTCTTTTGAAACGAACAAATTAAAGCTTAGATAATATATACATTTTTTTTCAAGTTTTAAGTTGTTAAATTTCAGAATTTTTTTATAAAATTAAAAAAGCCAGACTTTCCCCTAGTGTGACACATTTGATACATTTTCTCTGGGTATATTTTATTCACCACCCCTCCAATAAGTATGAAATTTAACATAAATTACTTGCTATAAAATTGTCATTGCTCAGATAAACCAAAATTTTATAGTCTTCAATTTTGTTTTGTTACATAGCCATCAAATAGAAAATCAGACCCATCTTGCCACACCCACTTGTCAGATCTTCTAGTTCAGGATTTGTTAATAGTTCTCTTTTATATTTAATTCTATATTATGTATAACCAATAGAAAGCCAAGGTTTTTACCTACCAAATGACTTATTATATTATGTTGTCTTCTGAATGGAGAATTGTCAATTTCTCTGTTAGTACAAACTTTGTTCTTATGGGAAAGATAACGACTAGCTTGGATGAACTTGTAACGGTTCTTGTTGCATAGTTAGAAAGCCTATTCTATGTTCTTTAGTACATTATTTCAGTAAATAAAAATTTATTAGTGCATTGATACCATCAGTATAAAAAAGTAGGGTTAAGTGCCGTCAACAGTCGACAGCAAAAAGAAAAGACCTGGGTAAGTACTTTATTTCTTGTTTTTCACATTTATTCTTTACTTATTTTTATAAAAGTAACTAAAATGTAAAATATGGATCTCTTTAGGTTAGCTAAGGTTAGATTAGGTAAAATAAATAATAATAACAATTTAATAAAAATGTTTCACGAGGCATGCGAGCAGCTAGGAGTAACTCATAGGTAATGTAATTTGATAGTGTTATGTGGGCTCCATGTTCCCCAAGTGATTTACAACTTATAATGGCATGAATAGTAGTTAGACACGGTTCAAAGGGCAATAAAACAATAATATTTAAGTATAAATAGTTGTATATTGTTATGCGTTTAAAGTTACTTAGGATAAACAAATGTAGTTTCATGTTACAATTTGAAGTCATTCTGGAAAGAAAAAAGGGTAATTTAGATTTATTTTGATTTTCTTTTTTTGGTTGGTATGAGGTCAGTCCAATTGACCAACCTTGTATACAGTTAGGATCGAGAAAATACCAGATAAAATATAAAGTTTTACTGAAACAAACATTTAAAATGTATTTATAAGGTTTTAGAGATTATGCAAATGAAATTTGAGATTTTTGAGATGAAGAAAAGTATATTTAATCTTAACATGAAAATCACTTTGCACACAGACTAATAAAAAAAATATTCTACATATTCACGGACAAATCTTTTTTTAGTTTATTAAAAATACTTCACTAAAAAAATATTACTTTTTGTATGTGAAAGACTTGTAATGTTTACTGAAAGTCTTCCAAATTTTTTGAAGATAAATGTACTATATTGAAAGTTAGTAGTATCAAAACTATAAAGACTTTAAACAAGTACAAAGAGGTCACGTAGTCAGTCAACTTGACCGAGCCTGTGTTGAGAGAGTTAAAAACATCAGTCTTTTTATTGATAACATGCATAAGATTGGCTAACATGACAAAGTCAGACTTGCACAAAATTAAAAACATTCACACTTTTGTTTTAACTGCTGAGAGATCTGTGTCTAGCAAAATCTGAGTGAAAGTCTAGATATGACTGGTAGAATTAACCTCTATATGTAAGTAGTGTCAATTCTCCTAGAGGACATTTGTCACCCAGATCACTTTGGTATCTCATACGTAAAAATAGAGAAGACAGTCTTCAGATATTTCTAAACCTATACACAGCCAATGTTACTAGAGAACACACTAGTACAAGTCTTAAGGATTTCCTCATGGACACCTTCCATGGGAAAGTTCAGAAATACAAAGGAATAATAGTGTGTAACTAGTACATGAAAAAGGTCACCACATTACAAAGTCAACTTTTCTACAAAATATTACATTCAACACGTGTGCTTAAATACATACATTCTTAAATTGAGGGACAAATTTGGTGAACAAGAAGCTTTATTTTTTCATAAATAAAAGCAACACCAGGGAAGTTTCATTTACCACACATCCTCTTTATTCACTGATCTGTATCAAATTATATACTCTAATAATGTGAAGAGGCATGCATCCAGAAAGATATTATTAATGTAAAGTAAGTTTATAATGTCTAATGAAGTTGTTCATTGCATTGTCATTATTTATAATTGGAAAATTCAAAGGCTTTAAATCAAGTGTGCATTTATTTGGCTCAATGAAAATGTTGAAATAACATTCTTTCATAAGTACATTAATATTCATTTAAACAATATAAGCACTTTTATATATATATTTTTTTTCCAGTTTTATTTTAATTGCAACTATTTAGTACATTTAAATATTAATTCCACTTAACCTATTATATTATTTATTTAGTGCTACTTTCAGTCACTGTATTGATTATACTGTTTAGTATATTAAGTGTTATTACTTTTTATTTTGGTTTATTATAACTATTGTAATTTTATAATGAAGATCATTTTGCATTATTATCTTAATATATGTATTTAGGACTAACCTAAATCTCCTAAGCTACCCTAACCTAGTGAGATATTATTGGGATTATGGCAACAAATATTGTTAACAGCAACGGTACCCAGTTAATGTAATAACGTCTTGTAATTTTTATAAGTAGAAGTGTAAGAAATGTACAGTTAGCTGTAATGATTGTCAGGTTAATTTATAGTTTTGTTTTATATACCTAGCTTGCTCTGATTGTTAATTAATATTGATTGTATGTATTAACTTAGAGTTATCTCTTTGCTTTTGTTCATAGTTTACTCCTGTAAAGGTTTGAGTCAAAGTGTTCTAAGGTCTACAGTTATGAATAAGGATAAGGAATGCTGACTATAATTTCATATTTACTTCATGTATGTACACAAAATGTGGCAAGTTTTTAGTAAAATATGCAAGTCTGTTATACAAAAAAATCAGATGTCTATGAATTGATGAAATCAGTCAGATTCAGACTCTGACACTTTTGCTTTACAATGATATATTTAGGAAATCAAAGAACAAATAGTATTTTAGCATTACTTTCCATTGTGATGGTGCAAAATGCAAGCACTGTTACACTATTGCAAACTACAAGAGTAATAACTTCCCAGCTGCAGTTTTAGGTGGTAGTATCTACAGATTACACCTTTTAGATTTTTTTTTTTTTCTTGGCTTATAAGTGGGATTTTTATCTGGTCTTTCTGAAGGTTTTTGTATAGGCAAGGATGAATCTAATAGTTGTAGTATTTACAATTAGTTGTGTCAAATCATGTTTCTGGCTTTTCACAGTCCAGAGAAATAAAATCAGTGAGTGGAGTTAATATGTCACAAAGCAACAAAGAACAAAATTATTACCAACCCACATTCCTTCCAAACTAATCTTTTTACCTTCCAACTGAGCCTGACAGAAGCCAAGGTGTTATCTTCACAAATACAGTGTAAAGCAGCCATCAGCTGTGGGTATAAAATTTTATACTCGTGGTTACATTTTAATACTGCTGAACTTTTTTCTTAAAATCAAAAGGAAATAAAATTTTTAATTACTAATGATTGATTTTAAGTAGAAGGTAAAAACTTTCCAAGATATAATCTGACTGTATGTTGTTCTCTTAAGTTCTTTTTTCTTGTGATTTTTAAAATATGTTAAATAATATTAAATTCATAAGCTCTATCATTATGATCAAATGATAGTGAGGGTACCCAGCTGAGAAATAAAAGCATTCTAATCATATTAGATCATAGTTTTCTTTTGTATTAATTTATATCATTATTTGCTTCAAGTTTGTTATTTAGAATTAGCTTCATTGATTTATAAGATGTAGTCCAGTTTTGACATAAAATTAGCTTACTTTTGATTAGAGGATGTTGCATTGGTAGCTTGTTAAGTGAAGCACTGCCCAAAAAAAGAATTTTCACATCTTTAATCTAAACACTTAAATGAAATGTATTTTTATCATTAATTGTTTTAGTTATATTAATCTGTGATTAGGTACTAAAACACAGTTGATTGCTACTAATATTTCTGCATAAGGAAACAATAAGTGTGCTCAAACAAAGAATACTGATGTGCTGGAAGTATAAGCAAATCATTTCTAAAAATAATTGCTTAAGTACAGGATGTCTAATTGCAGCTATAAATACAGGGTCTGTAAAGATTTGAAAAATACTTGAATTTGAAATTTCTTTATAAAGTATTAACAAATTGAACAAAGACGCTTAAGAAATGATTAAATTAAACCTGAATAAGTTACTTTGTTTTTTATTTCAAAGTAATATCCAATATAGACAATACATCAATTCCAAATCCCTTTTCTTTTACCTGCTGATTCAGTAAACTGGAATTGATTGTGGTGATAGTTACACTTAGAAACATGTATATGTATATTGAATTTCAAGTGATAAGTGCAGCCAGGCTATTTATAGGTCAAAGAGTTTAAGAAGAATAAATACAAAATGTTTTGTCATGTTGTGTAAACTTGTGATTTGGAAATGAGAAAAAAACACTGAAATATCATGTGAAAAGTAATTGATTTACATGTCAGATGCTAGTATCATTGAAAAAACGTTTTCAGGATTGCAAACATTTCAGTCCTGAGAAGGAATCAAACAGTGTGCATAATTCTGTTCCACATGACACACAATAATGATATTGTGTTGAATACTGTGTTACCTGAGGAATAATTCCAAAGGTGCAAGCACACTGGCTGGTATACTGTTATCATGCTCTGATCTTACAATAAAGCAGTATATGTTGGTGACAGAGACTCTCAGGTTATCTTCAAATTATCTCTTTTTAACTGTTGATAAAGTTTTTCAGTTGATGTTTCTTATTCAGTTCTTCACATTATATAGCTGCACAATATATCATGAAGAACTAAATAGTGGCCAACGAAAATTTTTCTTCACTTCACCTATCCAATGTATAGGTTTTTCTCATAGTGACTACAAAGCATGTTCACACCAATAGTATGGTTGATACTTTTCACTATGATAAAGGTCCAGCTTGTCTCTCTTTGGTTAACTTGTGTTTGTGGTTACTGATGAGGAGTGGAATTCTCTGAAGCTAGTATAACCCAATAACACATGTTGATCAAATTGTAGATTGAACTGGACCTCCCTTGAACTTAGACTTCGAGATTAAAACAATCTTCGAAGTTTATATATTATTATGGGATATTATGGTGTTTTTTTTTGTTTTTTTTACTATTATGGGATGCTATAGACTGGGTTCTAACTATTATGCAGTGTTATAGAGTGATTTTTAACTATTATGGAATGTTATAAAAATGTGTTATGGGATGTTATGTAGTGGTTTTTTAAACTGTAACTAGATGTTGTTAGTCTATGTACTGAAAGTGTAAAATTAGGTGTCTAGACAGCAAAACTGAAAAAAAATATTTGCTGGATTTTTAATTTAGTGTCTTTATTGATTAAAAAGGTTTATTTTTTAACTTTGCTGATATAACAGCAAAATGATTTAGGTTTAAAGTTGTATTGAAGTTTCTTCTTTCATGAGAAACCTTATAATCTTGGGCCTAGGCTATGTGATTCCATACTACGTCTTCACTTTAGGCTTAATTACAAAGAAAAGTAGTACCTTGGCCTCATTTATTACATTGTGATGAAGTTAATTAACATTTTGTTATTTATATTTTTGTAGTTGTCTGATGAAATCTTCTAACACTTCTTTGATCTTGAGTTGTAGACCAAAGCAAATTAAAAATTGCCAAGGATTTCAATGAAGTAGAGTTATTTCAAAAAGGAAAATTGCATTGTATTTTGTTTAAGCAAAGGAGACTGAATACAATGCATTGTTGGCAAAGATGTTTGATTTTATATGCAATGGGTGCATCCAGCACAACAGAGCACTCAGCTTCACTAAATTTCTACAAGAATTTTTTATGCTGGATGCACTCATTGCATAGAAACCCAGACATTTTGGCCAACAATGCACTGTATTCAGTCTCCTTTGCTTAAAAACAAATGCAATGCAATTTTATTTATTGGAATAACAAATTTGAATGACAAAAAATAGTTGTAAATGGCCCATTAGACAATCATGTTGCATATACTCTATTATCCAAGTCATTATGTTGACTCTACATTTATTTACTTATGTTCACTATTTTATTAATCACTATTATTAGGAAAATGTAGTGTTAATTTCTTTCAATGGGCACCTGCTAGTAATTTTATAATTGATACTTGTTTTATAGAAATGGACTGTATACTTTACACATAAAATCACTTTTATATTGGAACTAATGATTCCATTTTAATTTCACTTATTCTAAAGATAAAAAAAAAGTTAGGAATATGTTTGTATTACATATTGGAAGTATATGATCCTAAATGGTATTGACTGAATGTCAGTTTACTTTTTTTCATACCCTGCTGTGTTGTTTGGAGTAATTGATGACTAATTTATGTGTAGACAACTTGTGTTGTGAAGAACATTGCTGTGGAAACTGTTTGCATTCAATAATTGAAAAAGTACAAAATATTTTCTTTAAATTGTTATTTAACTGCACCTGATTTAAAGGACTAACATTTTTTCAGATTATATGCTGAACATGTGGAAGCCAGGTTGAAAAACCTTGGCATGGAAGTTGGTATTATTTTGTTGAGTGATGAATCTAAACTGGCTCAGACAGTGAAGGATCTAGAAAAACAAGGACCCGTTTTTGTTATAGTAATTACTCCAAAACATGAACTCAGCAACACTCTTACTATTAATATTCTTCTTGGATCTCCTGAAGGTAAGCATATTTAGTAACATCTGCTTTAGTGCGAGTTCACTGATGGTAATGTATCAGTGACTAACCACATCAATTTATTCATATTCATATAACAAGCAGTATGCTTCTAAGTGTAACTTCCATATCATCACAATATGTTAAGAAATTGACTCTCTTCACAGTACATTATTAATGTTTGAAATTTAACTTGATAACTAATAGTACTTGTGTGTGTCTAGAGTTGAAAGTGTGATATTCCTTACATATAATGCCAATGTTTATAATGTAAACTTTGATGTTACCTTGTTCTTATATAGACATAAATTTGCATTTGAGAGAGAAGGTTACTTCTATTACAGAAAGGAAGAAATTTGTGACTGGGCAGACTTGTATGTTGATACTATAGCATTACATACCAGGTTTCTTCCAGTTATTGTACATTTTTAGAATGAATACAGAAGTTTATTCAGACAAGTTTATTGTAACCACGTTTGTCGCAAGTAATTTTATACTTGTAGGTCAGTAAGGTTTAGTTAATTAATATTTTGAAGCATTGTGCATATGGCTCCCAAGATTGTGAAAATATAAGTTTTTAACTTAGTTGTTTTATTACATCACTTAAACATAGTACAGTTGTGCCAATCTCTTTGTTTTTCTGGCTTTATCATTAACCAATATAAAAAGTCTACAATTAAATGATAACTAAAATGCTGAATTTCTCAGTCATAATTCATACTGTGATAAACTTTTAATGACCACCATACTGTTAAATATATATATACAGAAATATCACATGACCAGCAACTACCCTGACACTTAAAAATTGATCATAAAAGCTATATGGTCAACATTATATTTGTGTGTGAAGTATTACCTATTATTTTCTTGAAAATATCATTAACAGCTAGCATTTCATTAATTAATTTATAAACAAGTAAGAACTCTTTCAATGTTAGGGGACAAACTGAAAGATATAAAATAATGAAAATCAGCTAAACTACCAGGGAGAGGGTCATTTTGTTAACCCAAAAATACATGTTTGAAGGAAGCCAAAATAAAGAGGACATTATTATATTAGAAAAAAATTAGAATACTTCAAAAGTTGTTAGTATTGTTAATTCCTTTAGGCTTTCCCTAGTATTATTGGCTTATTTACAGAGGTGTCAATTCTCTTTTAGACTAGAATAAATTATAAACTACTTTAATACATCACCAACATGAGTTGTATTTACTGTCTAGCGGTGAAGATGTTTGAGTACCAACAGTATCTTAAATATTTATGAATATAATTACTGTATTAGTCTTTTTAAACTTTAGAAGATTGTGTATGATTTTCAATTACGACATTAATACATTTGTTTTTTGTTTTACATCATATCTTCCACTGAAGAAATCTACAATTTTAACACCAGGGGCTGAAATTTGGTATGAGTTATCATTTGCTGATGTACAACACATGCGTGAAGGATTTTTCTGCTCTTGCTATCCTGAAAACCTCCATTTTAACCCCATGAATCTTATTTTGATGCAGCATTCATCACATAATATTCTCTTATCTTCCCAAAGCAGATGTAACATAAACTAAGTCAGAAAAGTGATGACACATAAGACTTAAAAGCTTTAATTGCAAGCAAACAAACTTTCCATGGGAATAGCCATTTTATTTGATTTTGCAATTTTTGTCAGCATTAATTTTTAATCTCTTATCAGCACGAGCAGTAAGCAGCAAAATATCCAAAAACAAAGTGAGGCTGCAAACCTTTAAAAAAGAATGCATGCTTGCTGATGAGTTCACAGTCAAAATGATGAAAAAGGTTTAGTTACTAAAATATTGTGTATGAAATGCACTAGGCACTGGATGAAATTACAGGACTGGGCTCTAAAGAAAGGCTGCAAGATATGACATTGTATACCAACAGATGCACAAGAATCCACAAACATAATGTCAAGAAACACATCAATGGTCCCTTTCATCATCAGACTTGTGGTAAGTGCTTGTACTAGGTCTTTTGATAAAAATATGGAAAATTGGTGTTTCCGTCAAATGCCTTTTTTTTATATTTCTTTATAACACTACATCTGGAGGTTTAACCAACCACTGTCAACATTGTAAGAAGTTCAACATGGTCATGGACTGTAATTATCCCATGTGCTAGTACTGTGTATGTTGTTCACTACATACATATTCATGGTTTTAGATGTGATATGATGGATTACTGTTACAATGTTGCTTACATTTTCAAGGAATGAAAACCGTTGAGGGATTTGATGCAATTCGTCTATATGTACACACACACACACACACACACACATATTGTGTCGATAATATTGTAGGTACAATTTTCATTACTGTCTTCACTTTTATATATAGATGTATCTTTTGTAGGCAAAACTTTGTAGAATTTTTAAAAATCAGGTAGACCAGTATGGTTTCTTATATCTTACTGTGTTTGACCAAGAGGAATGTGGTGAGCTAGTTGTTGCAGAGAGTGAGCCAAGTCTAAGTATATCTTATATTCAAGATACGTCTAACAAAAAAAAAGGTCAACTGTCTTATAAATGCTAGGCATGAAAGCAGAAGAGAATCATTTCCCATTATTGTTGACTGGAGATAAAATTGTGTGAAACTTTTGAGAAGAATAATGAGAAGACATAAGAAAATGATTGGGTACTTTGCTACAGAAAAAGTTTATTCTAGAACTTCTAGTTCAGTCAGTGTTCTTCTGAAGTTTATTTAATGATTGAGTTAAAAAAAAAAAAGACTAGATGAGAAAGAAATTGTCTACACAAAGATTATCTATCATGGAGTACCTGCCACACTCTTTCTTACACTTCCAGGAATGATGACCATCAAAGGAACTGATACAATCTCTCTCAAGAAATCCCTTCATCATATTCACAAGGAAATCTGACATGACAGCTCATGTTCTGATAGTGCTACTGTCAACTTTGGAACTGTGGAAAGAGGTCTTGGCAGTGAAGAAATCTGAATGAGAGTGGTTACTATTCTTTCATTATTGTAATCATAAACTGAAGTTAGCAACTGTTGCTGCTTTTAAAACCTATATTATTCTAAGAATGTTGGAGTTTTACCTCTTTAGGGAAGGGATTAAGTTTTGGCATATTCTCCAAGAAACTGGAGAAGCTATGGTTGTTCAAGTGAAAAGATTTCCAACACTGTGGCACAAGGTTCCAGATACCCCCAAAAATGGAACTGATGCTCTTTTACACATCTAACCTGCTTTACTATTGTTCTTGGAAATTACCATAGACAGTTTCAATAATGATTAGAAGGTACTGAAAGCCAAAGCTGCAAGATCACATGAGAAAACTAACTGCATAACTATGTAAACGATATGCTTGTTCAACAACCTCATAAATATCACATCAAAGCACTGTCTCATTTTTAAAAAGGATGATGTTGAAGTATCTAAAGTTACCATGAACATACTTTGTACAGTTAATGATTGGGATGATCAAAATTCCCAACGTTTTAGTGTCCTTTGTTTAAGAAATGCATATGCACTAAGAGATCCTTATTAACATACCACTAAAACTGTCACATAAGTATAATAAATCAGAGGAGTCTTTGTGTTAAGTGTTGGACAGTGAAAAAGATAAGTAATTATGTTGAATGTTGTTTCAGTGGAACTTTAGGCAGAATAGACATAGTAGGTTTGAGAACTTGAATGGACTGCAACTGCCTGTTGAAAGAAAAGGAGACAACATTTCAACTTCGATACTGAGACCTTCTTTAGGTACTTGTGTAGTGCCTTATGTATGTAATTAAGGCCATGTGATTAAGCTCAGGCTGTGTGATTTGAGTGTGTGTGATGATTGGTAGGTGTTACCTTTAGAATTGTGATGTCACCATATCATTTATAGAGTTTGTTAAGGGTGGTAGTCTACTGGCTGCTTATGTGCAAACCATTGTCTCTGTTGAGTTCAGATTGATGTAGTTTGAGGAAGGTAGCTTCTTTGACATTTCTTTCTTTTCAGTGGTGAGCTTTGTCTAAAATTCTATTTTGATTCCAGTTTATAATATGTCCTGTCTTGTAGTTATGCGCGCAGCCAAAGCCGATGTATCTGGATGTGTTATTTTAATCTCCTTTTTATTTTATTTTAATCTTTGTTCTGTCATTCAACTAGTTTCTTCAATCTAAGTGTTACTGCATGAAAATGGTACATTGTGGGTGTGTTCTCTTTGTTGTTCTTGGTTGTTTCACTTTAGTAAAAATGTTTCATAGATATTTTCCTGCATTAATATGAACTTTAACATTAAATTTCCAGTAAATCATTTTAAGTTTTTCACTTAACTTGGGAATGTAGAGTAGAGAAATGATTAGTTTGTGTTGGACTTGGTCTTGTTGTGAGTATTGGTATCTTGCTCATCGTGGTAGTAGATATAAAACTGGAAAGGTATATGCTGTCTCTGAAAACTTTCTCTAGAACAGATTTTGGGTTGTTGGACCTTTAGTGTAGGTTTCTGTTAATGTGAGTGTGAAGTGGTCATCATGTCACTGAACGAGTATACCTAAAAATGGAAGAGTTATATTTTCTTCTAACTGTATGGAGAATTTAATGTGGGTGAGACCAAATAACAAATGTGTCATCAACATACCATTTCCAGATGTTAGACTTGTTAGACTTAGTTAAGTTATTTGTCTGTTGGGTGGTGGCTTCAAAATCTTCCATGAAAATGTCACTGGGAATGGGTGATAGAGGTGATCCCATAGGAAGGCCACTGGATTGTTCATAAAATTTGTTTTGAAATTGTAAGAGATGGAGTTAGTGCAGAAGGTCAGAAGTTTTAACATGCTGTCTACATTGAGACATGTGCAAAGATGTAGGGACCTGTCTGCTGTTAATCTTTTGTGTACTAGGAGAGAACATGGTTGACAGGAATGCTGGGGAACATACTAATGACACCAAAACTGACCAATACATCTGAAGGTTGAATGGAGAAGGTTTTAAAGATTTATAAAAATGTTTATGCATTCTTGGTTCTTGATCCGCTCAAC